AGAGAGTGTGTGTGTGTGTGTGTGTTTGTGGTGTGTGTGTGTGTGTGTGTGTGTGTGTGTGAGGAGGAGGAGGAGGAGGAGGAGGGACTGTTATAGGTACCAGATGAAAGACGCTCAGTACTCACATGTGTCCTGTCTCCTCCGGGTGGATTTTGCGAAGCTTATAAACCTCTGTGGCCACTTACAACGCTACTTATGATGGAAATTGGGATACTAAAACTAAAATAAAATGGATATCGAAGTCTTAGATTAGGGCACCAAGGACGCGTAATTTCCGTGCGTAAATGGGTAGATGTGTTTGGATGTTATATACATATTAGAATTGAGGCAGTATTATGAACTGGAATTGAAATCTACAATTACACCAGAGGTAAGCTACAGTGTCGCTCCTTGCTTCAGCACCGGATGGCTCGAGGACCTCGCGCCCGCGGGCAGGCTGTTGGATCGCTGAAACAACATGCACGTTACTCTCTCTGAGGCAGGGCTAACGTGTGGATAGTGACACTCATCGAGGCAGAGCTTAATGGGAAAGACAGTGAAGTTTTTCAGTCAGAGTATCTTGATTGTCACTCCCCGCCCACACTAACAGTAGTGGTGAAGTTGTCCTGACATGCCTCCCGGCTGCGAAGATGACAGCTTTTGCTCACAATTCACGATTTCAAGCTAACGTTTTGACAGCGGACGGACTCACCTCCATGCTCTCCAGTGAAGTTGGACTTCTTACCAGCAGAGTACAAAATGGGACACAACCACCTGTTCTCTGTGGGGACGGCTTTTCTCTGCTCCCTACTGTTGTGTGAGTCAGGTAAGCACTTTTTAAAACGGAATACTTTATCCGGGGCTTTCATAAACAGTGAAGTAACTTGTCGAAACGGCATGGAAAAGCCAAATGTTACGTTAAAGTCGACATTTTACTTAAATTACGCTAACTCTTTTACAGTCTTGAATGCTACAAAACATTTAATTTCACTATAGAGCTAAACTTTGAAATAATAATAAGCTTCTACAGGCGTGAAAGTAGCAGCACGTAAATATACCTTTCAATCAATTAATTTCCCACAATGCATTTCTCAAATGTTGTAAATTACACTGTTAGAACAGTTTGCTTACTGTAAATTACAGTCGTAACAAGTTAACTTTCTCAGCTCGTGCGACAGTATCCTTTTCTTTATGCGACATTTAGAAATGAATTCTGCCAGAGACTCGTTTCCCCACGACTTTTAGATGTAGGCAGCCTTCCATGTTTCACGGCCGCAGCACTTAGCTTTGGTAATGAACAAATAGAAATAAGTTTTTATCCTTACAGTTCAAAAAAAATTTGAAAATCCTTTAAATGTGGAAAAAAACGTTCCTCCTTAGTAGTTTAAGTGGATGTAAATGGTGAAGGGTTAACAAAAGAAAATGATCAAGATGCCTATTGGTAGTCAGAATTTGGAGCAGGTTATATGGTTTCATTAAATATGAGCTAAATTTCACTATTCATTATACTGCATCCTTTTGAAAATTTTTCAATTGGATAATACCTATTTTATTGACATGTTTGTGAATATAGTGTCTAAAATTATGTAAAACAATTTCAGTTTACTTCAAATTCATCAGGCTTCACATTACTGCATTTATTGATTAAGGAGCTTCTAAATTGGTATTTATGACTTCTGAAACGCAAGTAAGAGTTTTTCTGTGCCGTACGTGACGTGAGAGAGGGTTTCAAAAATGAATTGTATTAGAAAAACTCCTCCCTCCATTTCAACATGCTACATCATCATTGCCGGTTCTTGATCTCGTGCCAGTATACATCTCATTATGTCACTGAGTTCACCTCACAGATAACACAGTCACATTTAGTTATTTTAGTGAACTTTTTACTCTTAAATATTTGACAGCCCAATTTCACAAGAGCGCCCCTGGCTTGAGAAGCTGCTGACTCCGTCATCTGAACTGGTCAGTGTTTCATAAACCTCGCCAAGGGGCCTGGCACCGGTCCAGCATGCAGAGCCCAGTGTGCAGGATGTTGGAGGTGTCATCTCATTTCAAGACTCCGCTGGCAGGATGCTTTGATCTATGGCCCCCAGGAGCTTTTTCTTTTTTGTTAAGCCTCACATCTGGTCCATCCCAGATGCAAAGCCAGATGAACGTGCACTGCCCTGGCTGTCAAAAGAGCAGATAAGAAGTCTCTGGTGTATGCTTGTTTGCCAGAATCAAATTAGTTCATGATTGCACGAGATAAGCCCAATTGCACCATGGGCAAATTAACTCTGACGCCTCCTTTCTGTTTTTTATTGTTTTACATGCTATTGCTAAAACAATTATGCCTTGCCAAAAGTGTCACTTCACATGATATCCACAGCCCATGCTAAGACAGCAGTGTTACATAAATACTTAATTTGCATATTTGCCCAGGCCTTCCCTGTCGAAGACCCTCAGGCCAAAGCATAAGTAATAAATCATCAGCAGATTTCCATGCATCCCTCCAGGTTAGCATAAGCAAAGCACCTGGTGATCTTCAACTGGACTATCCTGCAGTTATTGGTTGTGAGTACTTGTCAATGTGCAACTCACCCATAGTCCAGGTAACGATGTGGCCTCGGGTGAGCTACCATGATGCTTGGGGTCTAAGGTGTGGTTTTAGGGTCTTTGATGGAAGCACACTTCATTAGGCTGCAATACTACCTTCCACAGTCTAACAGAGACCCAGAGGGAGTGGGTGTTAATGGCTTGTAAACCCACTGCCGACTCTATTGATTTTTTAAAATATTGATTCTTGAGGTTATGCTTTGGTGTTGTGCTTTCCTTCAACATTTCCTTACATTAATCTCTAGAGAGGAGCTGCCGTGAGATTTTTTTTTATTATGAGATATGTTCTCTTTCTGTACATTTAAGATTGAATACATTCCAAGCCATTGCAAAAATCATCATTAGCCTATAGGAGAATGAATGACTGATGCAGGTGTACACATAATCTATACTAAAGCTGGATGGATACATCTGAGTTATTGCAGTTATCAGTGTTACCATGAGTCAATGTAATGGTGACACGAAATGTCATGACAGTAAGGCCAGTTGTATTTTTTAGGTAGTTTATAGTATACACAGTGGAGCCATCACTTGGTTTAGTTAAATACAAGGTATCCCACTTAGGACATATCTTACCTCACAATTCTTTAAAAAAACACATTTAAGTGTTCAGTAATTGTCTTAGTTCGTACATGAAAACATGAACAGTAGTGCTATACTATCATCCTGTTTTTTTTAATGCGATTGAATATCATATATGGGTTAGGTCAGGATATATTATTCCTACATGTTAACACACCGGAGTCACGCTCTGCTTCTAAGTGAAAAGTGTGAGTTAATTGTTTCATGCATCAGCTGTAACACAGAGTGACAGACAGCTCTGCAATAAACACCCTTCACTCGTGAGAAATTAGCTCACCTCTACTAAACACAAGCAAGCAATGATGTGTGTAATTGACTCTGACTACATTGATGAAGGTGAAGGCGGTAATCCCCAAGGAGCGGGATTCCTGTCCATACCCATGCTATTCACGCTGCAGAAAAACAATGCAGTGAGCTGAGTCAGGCTGAACTCGTAGGCAAATCTGTCTGGACTGATCATTCAAAATCAATTTGATTAAGCCGCCCCCTATTGTGAGAAAACACATACATTATAATACCATTTGACAGATAAAGAGAGATGAAATGGTGTCGATGCAAAGCGAAATACTTCCCGTCTCCACCTGCTCACCCCTAGAGGTTTCATCAGACCCACTTGGGGAGCTTAGATCATCAGATCAAAAGATTTGCTAAGATGTGGAAACACTCACCTTCACTCCCAAAAGCCACACTATCATGCCAGCCGGATTTACTGCAGTTTGTTAAGTGAGGATTAGAGGAGACACGGATGAGAGAACAAGGATATGATCCCGATATAGTGTGCAACTTCCACAAACCCACTCTTCATAGAGCTGTTATCATACCATCAAATATTAGCAACTCAACAAAGTTAAAACTGTCCGAATGACGTTGATGTCAAAGGACATTTGCACTAACATAAGCTACTTTAGTCATATTCATATTCGATTATTTCAATGTTAAAAAAAACGAAATATTGCAGTTCCATGAGAAGTTTCATGAAATATTTAACAGATCTATTACATGCATGCTTCAATTAAAGCAAAGATAGGAGTGAAATGTACTCTTCAATGTATTTGTACAGTGGCTTCTCTATGAATGTCTATTGCTTAAAAAAGAGAAGTGACTTTTCATTTCAAATATATCATGTTTTTGCAGTTCTTTGTTTTGAGAAGACCCACTCGCACGCTGAGGATGAGCTCTTCAAGACGCTGTTCGCCGGGTACAACAAGTGGTCGAGACCCGTGCCCAACATCTCTGACGTGGTCATCGTCAAGTTCGGACTGTCCATCGCACAGCTCATAGATGTGGTGAGTTGTTAATCGTCCATTTCATATAAAACCTTAAGACATTAATAGAAGGGAGGCTTAAACGTAACCTTTTTTGGCGACGTGGAAGTGGCTGCTTTTAATGTAAACCAAATACTTCACAATGGGCTTTAATATCTGTCTCTCTCTCTTTAAAAACAGTCAATTTGTTTAACTAAAGATGTGGATTTGTATACACAACTTGTATTTATTTTTAACAAAAAGCTAAACGTTCCCAGGTTACACTTAGTTAAGACATTTTGGAGCAACATGTTCCCATGGAGCTTTCATTAGTATGATTAACTGATACTAGCCAAACTTATGGCACTTTAATGAGGCTACAAGAACGAGAAAATATTTACTTTTACTTTTCAATCAATAAGTCTCAACCAAAAAAAATGTATTTTGTATTTTGATAAATGGACTGTTTCTTCAGGGCGTGTGAAGAAAGGTGACAGCTCACAGGAAATAAGAGAAGCACAGGGTAAATGACACAGGTCAATAAAGTGGGTGTGTTACTAATAGGGTCAATTTATAACAAGGGATCAATATCTGGAAGGTAAACAAGTCCATCATAAAGAATCAATAACATTTGAAATCTAAGACGATGATATAAAAAATAATAAGGTAGAAAATGAAAGCATTATATATCCTTTCGTATGGGGTGCTCACTTACTCAACTGAAGTTGGAGTTGAAACACAGAGTTACTGAGACCATTTATTAAAGATTTTTGCAAAGCGTATGCCTTAGTAATTTCAGGTTATTAATTATTAATCACCAAGCAAAGTCTCATGATGCGTCACTGGATCCAAAGGGCTCCTTTTTTAAATATTCCCGTGGTAGCCCTCCTCGGCCAATCTCCTGGCATTTGTTCTCGCTATTATGACACTGTAACTTTTAACCATCGTTTCCCTGACAGTTTTTACACCCAATATGTGTTTTGCAATAGTATGTTTTGGCATTTTTTTTAATACAGTAGCAAAAACAAATTTAGGAACACTAGATTATGCACCCCCCCTCTGCCCTGTCACAGAACTCTTCACATCCATCACCTTATTGAAGTAAAGTTGCTCCAAGCTATATTTGGGTCTTGCTTTGACAAAACTCCAAGAATTTCTCTCATATATTCCTCTGGCCTGAGTTAACAGCCTTAACTCTGTCTCTCTCTCTCTGTCTGTCTGTCTGTCTCTCTCTCTCTCTCTGTCTGTCTGTCTCTCTCTCTCTCCGTCTGTCTGTCCTCTAGGATGAGAAGAACCAAATGATGACAACTAACGTGTGGCTTAAACAGGTAAGAAAAATGTGTCAGTGTTGCTTTATTAATAAGATTCCTTTTTCTTGAACTGTATCTCGTCATGTCAAACACTACGAATATACAAACCTACATCTACAGTGCTCATTTGACAAAGATTATGAGGCATTTATTTGCTTATAGGACAATAAAGGATCATACCCTTCTTGTTTGTATGTCTCAGGAGTGGAATGACTACAAACTTCGCTGGAAACCGTCCGATTACGACAATGTGACGTCCATCAGAGTGCCGTCAGAGCTCCTATGGGTGCCAGACATCGTCCTCTACAACAAGTAAGTGTGGCAAGAGACAATTCTCTTGATAGACGGATTAATCCATTGGTCTAACATTTAAAAAAAAAAGGTAAACAATCAAAGTCTCCAAGAGTTTACGAAGACATATTAAAGTGTTAAACAGTCCAAACCCTAAAGTCATAAAGGATGAGATAAAACCATACATATTTACATCTGAGAAGCTTAAATCCATTTTTTTTAATGCATTTGTTATGCTTAAATTATAAATTGATTATTTAAATAGTTACTAATCAACTTTCTGTGGATCAGTTAACCTATTAATGACATATCTATTCTACTCAACTTAAGATAAGCATTATAATTCATTTATGATCAGGTCTAGACCATTTTTTAACAATTTATACTAAAAACTGTTCATTGAATGCCACAGTGGATGCTTGAAACAGAGTTGTAGAAACATTTAAGAGAAGAGTAACAGCCACACTCATCCAGTGAATAAATAGTTTAAATTGATGCCTCTTTGCTGGATGGTGTATGGTATGAGAATGGTGCCATCTAGTGATACAAAAAATACATTTTACTGCTCTTTAACATTTCTACACCTACCATGAACAGCTCTTCCTGTCTCAAATTGTAAGCTGTTTTCTATGAATTATATATTTATACATTGTGAATCTCTGCTAATATATGTTGACTCATGTTATTTATTTCAAAATGAAGACAGCCTTGAAATGTGAATTGCCTCAGTGAGAATCTATTGTTAAATAAATCTCCTAAATCCACCTCTCGGAGATTAAACCCGGTGAGTTGATGATTGGGTTCTGCTCCATTAAGCCAGTCTAATCACAACCTGTAAGTGAAATTAAAAAAGGTGGGAAGCCGATGAAATGATAACGGCTCATCATTAGGTTTTCAGCAGGAGCTATTATCACCATTAAAGCGATGAGTGAAGGGGAGATTACTGGAGAAGATTATTAGTGGGAATACTATTTATCTAAATTAAGATTAAATAATTTCTCACCACAGGGTGTGGTAGGATCCGATTGTTGATTAGCTTTTTTAGCCTCTGATCTGAGATATTCAAACTGTTATGTTTTATGACTACCTTTCCAGCGCTGATGGCGAGTTTGCTGTGACCCACATGACAAAAGCTCACCTATTCCACAACGGTAAAGTCCGCTGGGTGCCTCCTGCCATCTACAAAAGCTCCTGCAGCATCGACGTCACCTTCTTCCCCTTCGACCAACAGAACTGCAAAATGAAATTTGGCTCGTGGACGTACGACAAGGCCAAGATTGACCTGGAGAAAACGGAAGCAGTGGACCTGAACAACTACTGGGAGAGCGGCGAATGGGCCATCATCAACGCAGTGGGGACGTACAACACCAAGAAATACGACTGCTGCCACGAGATCTACCCAGACATCACCTACTTCTTCATCATTCGGAGGCTGCCCCTGTTTTACACCATCAACCTCATCATCCCCTGCCTGCTCATCTCCTGCCTCACTGTTCTGGTGTTCTATCTGCCCTCAGACTGCGGGGAGAAGATCACCCTGTGCATCTCCGTGCTGCTGTCCCTCACTGTTTTCCTCCTCCTCATCACCGAGATCATCCCCTCCACCTCCCTCGTCATCCCGCTGATCGGAGAGTACCTCCTCTTCACAATGATTTTCGTCACCCTCTCCATCGTCATCACTGTGTTCGTGCTCAACGTGCACCATCGCTCTCCTAGCACTCACAAGATGCCCCGCTGGGTCCACTCCGTGTTCCTGGACATGATCCCGCGCTGGCTTTTCATGCGGCGGCCCGCGCCAGATGTCCGCCGTCGCAGGCTGTTGCTGCTGCAGCAGGAGGCGGCGGCCGACCGGAGGCAGGCCCGATTGGCCGGGTTCAAACATGGCAACTGCCTCAGCACCTCGGCCAACTGGCTAAGAGACGGGACATCCTCACAGGACCCCAAGAGAAGCTCTTATGAGGACTTAGAGCTGGGGACCCTGACGTCATATTTCTCCTTTCGCCCTCCTTCGCCCAGACCTCCGGGGTCCACTCCCCCGACCCAACAGAAAAACCAACAGAACAGCCAGAACCAGCAGGAGGGGGCGACGGGGGCAAACAGACAGAGACTCAATACCATTCAGAGGGCCATTAAAGGAGATAACACAGTATCAGACTCAACTTTCCTGCTCTCACCAAGTGTTATACGTGCTCTGGAAGGGGTGCACTACATCGCAGACCACCTGAGGGCCGAGGATGCTGACTTCAGCGTGAGTATCAGCCAAATGCTACATCAACTATTATCAGAATAGCACTTAAACGCCACATTGTTTGTAAAGTTTGTTATAAAAATCCTAACAATAATGTATTTTCTGCCTATTTTTATAGCACTAATACACATTTCCGTTCTCCAGCCAAGTGAATATGAAGTCCTGTTAAAGATTTATTTCATAGTGAAGTTCATCAACACCCCCATGACTAACACCTGCAATACGCTGAGAGGCTAAAGATGAAAATCAGCCTTTTGTCAAAAACAAAGACAGATTTAAGACATCATAATAATAACCAAGGTGTTACTTAGTTTTTTTAATTTCTTGTTTTCTCTCTGTCACTTTTTGCTTTTATTCTACACAGGTGAAAGAGGATTGGAAGTATGTCGCCATGGTGATTGACCGCATCTTCCTGTGGATGTTCATTATTGTGTGCCTGCTTGGGACCATCGGCCTCTTCCTACCCCCTTGGCTAGCTGGCATGATCTAGCTCATGGGAGAATGTGTGAAAAACCCATAACCGCCACTAGTTAGTGAATTTGAAATTCAAAATGTAGCTGACCTCTACTTCACGCTTGTGTAATATACTGCGTTAAAGGCCTCATGAGGCTATAAAGCTCTTTATGCACCACCAAAGCAAAAGTGGGGAAAAACCGAATGGTAGCATCTTCTGTACAGCGGACATCTCAGACTCAGCCCGTCACTTGGCTCAACTTTTATCCCTCTAAGCTGCACTTTGCCTCAGGAGTAATGGTACTTAGGTTGAGTTTGACCCTAATGCTAACATTAGCATGTTAACAGGCCCAGAGTTGGCAATTGGTAATGTGCTCATGGTTAGCACAACCTGAGATTTGGTATGTTAGCATACCAATGGCAGTATGCTAATGTGCCAATGTTTAGTACAATGTATCTTTTAGCATGTAAGTTAGGTGTAACTTGCTAGTAAATGGGATGGCACCAGCATCAGTGTTGAGTAAGGCGTAACCGTTGTTTGTGGAATGACACTTTTTAAATTGACTTTTTAATGATTTTCCATGTTCAGTTCTTTCAATTGTTAACACAATATAGATTGAGACACAGATCAATGTTAATTATTGTTTGAACAGTTTTTAAAATGAGATGTATGTCTTTCAAGCAAAGTAATGCCTTAATTTCCCTCAAAATCACAAACGTTGAAATGTAAACTACAGCTATTGTTTATATACTAGTAAAGAAGTGTGATGACTTTATCAATTATCAACAAGAAATTACTTTGAATTACAAGTCACCGGTCAGCAGATTTAGTTTAGTATGAATACAGATGATTCTATCAGGAATGACTTAATTCAGTAATTAGAGTTCTACAGGTGTGACCTGAAGGTGAGACCTGTTGCTGAAAGGATTCCTCTTCTGGGTAATATTAATGAACCGTATTCCATGGTCCTCCATGTTGTCAATGTCATTCAAATGTTGGATGAGATGAATGTGGAAACATGTTTTCACCGTCATTGGCATGCTGTACTTGAAATCCAGAATACTGGACACACTAACCTGTGATTTGTGCTGGTTTGGAAAGCATTTCCCTTTTTTACACAGGTTTTCTTTCTGCCATACTGTCATGGTTTCATTTTTGTTATTATTGTCATACAATGAAATAAATAAGCTCATGAAACCTTTAAAAAGCCGTCTTTATAGCATTTATTGAGTGGTGTGAAAATGACCTAAACAGCACCGTCAGGTTATGATTCCTACAGCTGGCCTTTCTAAATCTAGATTCAACGAGTAGACATTTACAGAGGTATACATCTTGATATTTATGTTTACATCACTTGATTTACGTGCTAGAAATTCATATTTTATAATGATAGTGGAAATATTAGAGAGTTCCTGACAGACAATCCATATTCATGCCATTGTAGTCTTCATCTCATCATTTTAATAAAATGCATCACAGTTAACCTTGGGATTCATACTCTATATAAAACACTTTTGAACATTTGAATGGCCGACTGGTTTTGTCAACTTTACATTTCACTTTTATTTTCTCTGCTATAAAAACCAAAAGTATTCATAAGTCACATTTTATATTTACAAGGTTTTTCAATTTCTGAGCAGATAATTAAATCGTTAAGAAAAGTTTACATAAAAAAGAAGTGTGAAATGGTGGCATCCTAAATATGATGCCAATGGACCATCAGTAATGTTGGCATACAGAAGTATGCACGCTTTTTTCCAAGTTGTCCTTATCCTCTGAGCTGTACCATAATATTAAAACAAAGCAACACATATAGGTAAGATGACGCCCTGCCACAGCCTGAAAAGCAGTTTGATGACATCTAAAATGCTCAACTGTGTGCAAATGTTAATTCTGAGTGGAATGTGAATCATTAGCTTGATGTGTAAACCGTTCACTCGGGGGCCACTGGCTTGGCTAGGTTGGCCCTGACTCTGGCCTGGTCCACAGCATCCAACATGTTCTTGCTGTCCATAGCCAGAGTGTGTGCTGCAGTGAGCAGCTGTTTCTTACATTCGTCCTTCAAAGAGGTGATGGAGTTCTGCTGGGCCAGTCGCATTTTGCTGATCAGCTCCGCCATGTCGTTGTTCAGCAGCTTCTGGGTGCCCTCTATCTGTGGGGGGGGGAAACAAACTGTTGGCCTTTTTCTTGGAAGACATTTTTACATGTGGCAGAAGGGAACAGGTGTAAATAATAAAGTCAATGATGGTTGAATTCCCATTTCCCTCTGTGAGCCACAGCCACCTCTACATTGCGATAATTCAAAATGTCTGTGGTGAAAAACATCTATTAACACGCCTATACAATATTATGTAACCAAAATAAATAACACCAAAATGCAACAGGTGTGTAATGATTTAACTCAACTGCATTATATTAACAACTGTTATTGTAATTGTGTCCATACATTTTGCATATACAGCACATATATGGTCCTTTGTTTACATTTAGTTGACCCTGTGTGCGTATACACAGCTGCTTTTTCAAGTGAGCAACACATGCATTGAATTCTGTTTGATAAATATGGCTGTGAAGAAACTGCAGCTCATAACAAATGTACTTTTTTTAACTTAACTTGAAATGGTCATTTGCTCTTCATCTCTTTGTGTTTGAAGAAGAGTTTTGTCACTTTTAGTTTTAAGGGACAAATGGCTGGAAGAAAAAAATCAATAAAGGAAGTCTGGAAAGGAGATGAGGAAAGACAGACATTATGTGTACCTCAGTCCTCACAGACTCGTGTAAGGTGGGCAGTATGTCATCCACACTGCGGATCAGATCTCGTAGAGCCATCCCGACAGACTGTGGGCGGAGATCAATGCAGAGAATGAATTAGCTGTATGACTCAAGAGATTTGTTTCCATCACCATTCATACACCTTGCCTCTAAAGCGGAAAGAAAACATAAAATCTAAATGAAAATGTGATTATTTTTCTTTGGTGTACCTTAACAATAGTGATATATTTCTCCGGCGGAGCGTCAATGATGTCATTCTTGAGTTGAACAACAACTTTGACCAGGTCCATGACGTAGAGGTACACTTTGTCATCAGAGCGGTCCAGCTCAGCTGTGGGCGCAGCCTGAGGGAATAATGTGTTATCATTAAAGAACTCATCCTCATTACTTGGCATCAATCCCCTTTCAATTGAAGGGCAATTTCACTTTCTTAAGATGATTGATTTTATTATTTATAGTATCTAAAAATTCAAGCTAATGTATTTAAATGATCTTTTTCAGAATGCTAAAAGATATTATAATCCCAAAGATGAATTAATATAACTACCTGTGCTGTGAGCCGAGGGGGCTTCTCTGGAGGGGCTGCAGTGCAGAAAGATGAACGATGTGAGAAACAGAAAGAAATGAAAGTACTCAGAACGACTAATATGTGAATATAAAATTCGAATTTATACATTTCCTTTGAGCGCTTACCATGCTCAGTGTCAGCTTCAGGGGACTAAAAAGAATAGAAAGAGATTAATTTCATGAGGACTAGAAAATAAAACAATATGCTTATATATATCACTTGTTTCCCTGGGATATAGTTGTTCCTATTTCCTATAATGCTTCTTTAATATTCATACCATAAAAAAGCAATGTATGAATTAAGTATCTTGTGTTTTTATCTGACAAGAATGAAGGTTGTATTGCACATTTCTATATGTCAATTTGATCACTGGAGGAGAAAAACAAGATTGACATTTGTGTTCATGTTTTGGAGTTTAAAAAGTGTTTGTTTTGTTTTTCCTTTTCAGTGATCACAAATTGTCATCGTTGCAACTTTATTGGTTTTATTTCCAATTTGAACAATATAGCTTACTTTACAAGAGAAGCACCAGAATAAAGTTTTCTAACTCATAGCTGCATTGGAAATATCACGTAGTTAAAATACACTGTTAAAAGTAGTGTAGCTTTGAACAACCTATATATTTTTTACACTCTTCAAATGGGAAAAAAATATTATATTTAGAAAGAAAACAGTTTGAAGGTGGGGGGGGGGGACCTACCGCTGGGCCCGCAGTGTCCTCTGGTCCCATGGGGTCCTGAAAAAGAACAGGCAGGTTCATTTGATAGAATAAGGTCATGGACCCCCTCTTTGGAACTGTTATCAGGGGGACAATCAATTTAAAGCTAGTGTGGCGTTGAGAGTGAACGAGTGGGTCGATTTTGTTTAATGATGCCTCGTTCCACGTAGCCTCCAGGGCCAGAGTGAATTGAGTTGGGGGACACTGAGACACAGAGAGGGGGTTGACTAAAGAGAATGATGCTCTGTTTCCCACCAGGAGTTTCTCCTCCTTTTCCAGCCACTTCTCATCCTCCATCATCTGCTCCTTCTGCCGGCGGAGAGTGTGCTGCATGTCCTGCCGCTCCCTCTGCCAGAGGCGCGCCGCGTCCTCCCTGCTGTTCGGCTCCACCCGGAAAAACTCGCCCTCCTACAAATAATGGGAATATAACAGAAAGATTATGGATATTAAACAGCCTTTTTTTGGGTCTCTTATGCATTCATTTTTAACTTTAGCTGTTAAACACAACTGAGAACTACACCTGCACACAGAAGTCTGTGTTGGATGTGGCGTGTGTGTTACATGTTGTGATCATGGATGTTTCTGTTATGTGATTGTGATGTGCTATATGTGACATGTATGTAGTAACGTGTGTTGTTTGCATTTGATCCTTTCGCCTGTATCTACTTATCTTTCATCCTTTTTATATAACTAATGCTGTTGATGTACAGTATTGTGATTTTAAGGGTGTCCATAATCATCTGGCCGGGGACAACAGCTGGAAATGAGCAATGTTTGCTAAAGCCGCCCCATTTACTGTTTTCTGTGACAGTTGATCAATGGGGACTGTCCACGACACTATAAACAAATAAACTAAAACTAGACTTCGAATGTAAGAAAATAGACACAAACTCAGATACGTTTTAGAAATGTTCGACAATGCGCTGGGTTTCTCACCGCCATGCTGCGGCGGCGAGGGGACCTGCCCGGCAGCGTGAGAGGGCTCATGGAGTCGACGGGGGTCTGGTATTCACACGGGCTGGCCAGGTCAGGGGAGCTGGCACATAACGCCTCGTTCAGCTGCACAGACACACACACATGCACACACACATTAACACATGGATACTTTTTTGGAGTAAAGCCTGTGATCTTGTGTTAAACAGGTGAGTGGTTAC